TCAGCTCTGTGAGGTGCTGGCAGACATCTTTAACACCTCACTTACCCTGGAGACAGTTCCCACCTGCCTGAAGACTGCCACCATCATCCCAGTCCCAAAAAGCTCTACAGTGACTGGTCTGAATGACTATCGGCCAGTGGCCCTCACCCCGATAGTCGCTAAATGCTTTGAAAAACTGGTCATGACTCGCATCAAAACAACCATCAACATCAACGAGGACCCTCACCGGTACGCATACCGTGAGAACCGATCAACAGAGGATGCCATCTCCTCTGTGGTCCACACTGCGCTCAACCACCTGGAGCAGAAAAACTCTTACTTCTGTATGCTCTTTGTGGACTTCACATCCGCCTTCAACACCATGATCCCCCAAACCCTGATGGACAAACTATCCACACTAGGACTAAGCCCCTCCATTTGCAACTGGGTACTAGACTTTAACAAACAGACCACAGTTAGTGAAGATCCACAACCTCTCCTCCTCCACCATAACCCTCAGCACTGGCTCTCCTCAGGGATGTGTGTTGAGCCCCCTCCTGTTTACCCTGCTCACGTATGATTGTGCAGCTACCCATCCAGGCTGTCACATTATAAAGTTTGCAGATGATACAGCGGTGGTGGGATGCATCACAAACAATGATGAGTCCAGCTACAGGCAAGACGTGGAACACCTGGAGAGCTGGTGCAAAGAGAACAACCTTCACATCAATGTGAAGAAGACAAAGGAGATGATTGTGGACTTCAGAAGGAACAAAAACGTCTACACCCCCCTGAACATAAGAGGATCTGCGGTGGAAGTGGTCTCTAGCTACAAGTACTTGGGTGTACACATGAATGACAACCTCAGCTGGAGCAACAACACCACCAGCCTGATCAAGAAAGCTCATCAGAGACTCTACTTCCTCAGACAGCTGAGACGAGCTGGTCTGGGAAGCTCAGTCCTCACCTCCTTCTACAGGTGTGCAGTGGAGAGCATCCTGTGCTCCAGCATCAATGTGTGGCATGGAGGCTGCACAGCTGCAGAAAGAAAAGCTTTGCAGAGAGTGGTGAAGGCTGCACAGAAATCTGTCGGAATCAGCCTCCCCACCATCACAGACATCTACACCTCCAGATGCAGGAAGAGGGCCACCTGCATCATGAAGGACCCCACTCACCCAGCACACACACTTTTTGCCCCACTCCCCTCAGGAATGAGGTTAAGGAGCATTAAGTGTAGAACCACTAGACTGAGGAACAGCTTCTACCCTGAGGCTGTTAGACTCATGAATCTCTAACTAGAATAATCACTGTGAAAAACCATATCATGTTGCTGCTGATCTGTTTCATGTTGCTGCTGATCTGTTTCAATGTTGATG